ACGAATTCGAACGAAAAAGCAGTTTTGCTCAGGATTGTTCAGTTTATCGTGAATGTTTTTGTTAGGACCAATTATTTAGACAAACATGGATCCAAAAAATGAAAAATTGTAGAAAAGCAAAATTTTGTCCTCGGTGGGATCCGAACCATCGATTTTTTACGTTTTTTTATTCGTAGAAGCGCGCAGCGAAAATGAACCTCAGTTTTCTGGTCCTCGTATGTGCCCCTACAATATGCACAAGACCATTTTGAAAAAGCTCACCACGCCCTGAACGACCTCCCTTGTGAGACTTGAACTATCCTCACATAGCGCTCCTTCACCTTATAGGCAATGTGTTGATCAATTTCACATGAACATTTAACTTTAAAATGGTATACCTCGATGTTTTCGGAGCCAAACTCATGGGAAGCCCGTTCCTCTGTTGATCCTACAGTACCTAACTCCAGTGGTGTGAACACGGTAGTAGGCACGTTATCGTAATTCATAGTTTGACTAGCACCAGCGAAAATACGACGAGCTAGCAATTGGCCAGCGCGAATGGCAGTCGGAGTCAATTCTGGTCGACCCTAGAAATCACAATGTAGAAATGTTTACTAAAAAATAATTCAAGAGGTCGCTCTTCGCTTCGAGAGCGGGGTATGCGGGCGGGAGGGGAGGGGTAGCGGGTAGCTTTCTCCAGTTTCCTCCCTTTGGGAAGACCTGTGAACTCTCGCGAAGCTGCGCAACAGAGCAAGCTTCTCCGATGTGGTTCAATGTCCTGTAAACTCTTGCCGATACGAAATGGTACGAGATTCTTTGAAAAAAATTACTATAACAACTTAACAAGAGTTCATAAGTCCAAAGCTGGTCTGAATATGCTCTGCTGGAAACCATTTGGTGGCTTCAAAAGAGTTTACAGGTCTCCACCTTGACTTGAGTAGGCAATGCCCCCTCCACAGCCAATGCCCCGAGAAAATTCCAGAAACATGACAATATTCAGAAGTTCGCAGACATCACGCGATAAAAGGATAGACGGAGAAAAGAATCACAGCGCCTTTCTCACTGGTGGTCCTCTAGAAGACGGTAAGGACGGAGGTGCGCCAACGAAGAGGGTCATAATGGTAGGCCTGGCTCCGCCCATATGCTAAGCGTGGAATGTTCCTTCGAGCTGTATACTCACTAGAGCTACGTCTCCGATAGCGTAGACATTCTCTGCAGACGTTCGATCATCCTTCCCCACTACAATTCGACTCGTTAAATCGTCGGTTTTCACACCAGCGGCGGAATTCAGGGAACCATGTGAGATCATCGGGCCTGAAAAATAACAAGTGAGACCTCATTTACAATTTGCGTAAATACGTCAAGCTAAACGTGGCGGTGGCTGTGCTTTTGGAGAGATATTTCATTTTGACACAATTGTTGTCATGTCTCTGTCCAACACTGAACAAGATGACAGTTGTCTCAGACTGAAATATCCCACGAGTAACCACATTCTGTGCCATGTTCAAATGCCACGCCTACTCCGTCTCAGGGATAAGGGGTATAAGGGGCGCCCTTACCACCACTGCCGCAAATAGTTCGAGGGAGAAGAAAAATGCTTTTGTTGACAACATGTCTTCAAATAGTGGGCAGCTAGCTTTACTCCCCGAAAAAATTGCAACAGTTCTCTCAAAAGTCATTCTTATGTCATTAGATTACCTAGGGTTTCAATTCTACTCAGTGCTTTGATTCATACCCTTAATCAATTTCAGTGAACTAGTCGGATAACAGTAAGTGAACAGAAAGTGTACAGGAACGAGCTAGAAGACGGGGATTCGCGAGAAAAGACAAAAAAGTGCCAACAAAAAGACAAAGTGGTTGGGTCTGGAAACTCTTTGCGCGCGTTGTCGCGTTTGCCACCGTGACTTTGCAGATGAATGCACCTTACACCCCACAAAATAAGGTATTAACTATTAGCATGCACAAAAAGCCATTTATTACACGTACCCATAGCCCAGACAATGGTGTCATAAACCTGATCGGATGAGTTCTGCCCGCCGGGATAGTTGCTGAACGACACCTAAAACTTACATGTTACTACAATGCGCTTCGAAAGCATAAGGAATC